TTGTTCATGTCGGCCACCTGTCCACTGTTCAACTTTTTACTGTTCATAATGGCCACCTGTACAGGCCAGCTTTTTAAATTATTATGGTTTAAAGTTCGGATTTCAAATCCGGTGCCTATAAAGGCCCCTTAGGTTGTTTGTAAAGGCAGAGTGCTGCTTAGAGCCTCTCAGCTTAGTTTCCTGTTATGGTGTGCTTTATCCTTTTGCTTCTGCTTTTGTGTTTGTATGTCTTGCTCACTTATGGTTTATCCTTCATCATACTCTATTATCCTACTCTTTGTAACATCTTTTGTATTTCTTTGTGATTTCTTTGTATCATCTGTATTTCTTTGTATGCACATCTAAACAATATTTTATGTTTCTTTTTTGGAATTTTTGTGCAACTTGTCATGTTTATGCAAACTTTATGGAATTTTTCGCAGAAGGGAAAAGGAAGAGGAGGTTCAAAAGACGAAGAGAACTACTTTGTGACAATTTGTTATCATCAGGATATTATAGGTCAGGTATCTTATCGGGATATTATAGAACACATCTTTTCTATTGGAAATTTATCAGGAGTTTATTGTAAATTTTACTTACTGAACCATACAACGTTTCTTATGGAATAATGTTTAACATCGTTTTTCTATGGTTAACACCTCTCAAAATCCTATACGTTATACATAGAATAGAGTGTGAAATATTAAATTACATTATTTGCTCCTTTCATTTTTCCATGTCTATAAAATGATATGGGCATCTTTCTCATTGTGACAGTACAATTGACATTTTCAATAAAAAACAAATGTATTTTGTTTATAAAGAATTGAGTTTCACTCCATAATTATATCTTTTTGTGAAAATATAAAGTATCCGTTTTCTAATGACAGTGTCATATACTCGTTTTGTAATCAGGGAAGAAAAAAAGGACCAAAAATATAACTTAAGGATTCGCACACCATTCTAAGTATGACGTATAGGATTAAGGGGTCTTTTTATAAAAAAATATCACTTTCGGGCAAAAAATTGTATTTTATAAGTAGCTTAATCATTAAGGGTACATTTCAAATTTTCATGGCAGTTTCGAAGTAGTATCCTGAAACTTCATTGGTATAGGTATTTTTCTCTTTTAGTAAATTTTAAAATATGTCTTTATGATGAGAAAAGCACCACTTTATCTTAACAATTACACTTGCACCGTTGTTTAATAAGCAAGCTTCCCCTAAAAAGTAACATTATTAGAAAAAGAAACCCTGCTTTTGATAAATCCCCCTTTCACAACCCCTTCTAATATTAACTTTTGTATTTTGAAAGATTGTTTAACTATAGAATTATCCTCTCTCTCTCTCTCTCTCTCTCTCTCTCTCTCTCTCTCTCTCTCTCTCGCTCTATATATATATATATATGGGAAATGCTAGCATAGGCCAGTGGGCCTACAGCTACATATGAGCCTAAGACCCAGAATCAATCTGGGTCGATCTAATAGACACGATTGCATTTCGTATTTTAATTTTAATTTTAATTTTTTTCTATAAATCCAAATCACGTGAAATTTTGAGCGCGTGTTCTTTAAAAATAAGAGAATCCAATAAACATATCAAAAAAATATTTCGTGAGAAAAAAATTGGCCAAAATACCCATGAAACTTTTCAGGGGTATTTTGATCTGTTTATATCTTGCGAATTATTTTTTTATATTTTTTATAAGTGTCCCTTGATAAGAACAATAGATACCTAAAATTTTACATGATTTGAATTCAAATACAAAATGAGATTGTGTCCATCAGATCGGCCCAAATTTAATCTGGGCCGTTGAGCTCATATGTAACACTGGCCTACACTAGCATTTCCCTATA